ATAAGCTTTCTTATAAATACAAACGAAACTCCTTTCTTCGGAAGAATCAAATTTTCACCCTACATATATGTCTTAAAAAGTGGGAGCAAGTTTACTATATTATCCTTATATGTGGATGATATATTGCTCACTGGAAATGATATAGAAATGTTGAATAAAACCAAGGCAGATCTCAACGAAAATTTTGAGATGAAAGATATGCGAGATGCATCATATATTCTTGGAATTCAAATAATTCGAGATAGAAAGTCTAGAATGCTAAGTTTAAACCAAGAAAAAAATTTAAGATCAGTTCTTAAAAGGTTTGGAATGGAAAATTCCAATCCGGCACCAACTTCGTTGGTTATGGGAAAGAGATTATGTAAAGAGCAAAGTCCTGGAGAGGGGAAGAAGCCATTAGATGTTCCTTATGCTCAAGCAATTGGAAGCTTGATGTATGCAATGTTGTGCACCAGACCTGATATAGGTTATGCTGTGAGTCTAGTCAGTCGATATCAAAGTAATCTAGGACCAGCATATTGGGAAGTTGTTAAAAGGATTATGAAATATATTAGAGGTACATTGACTCATAGATTAGTTTATCAAGCTGAATCGCTTGAACTCCTCAGTTATTGCGATGCTGATTTCGGATGTGATAAAGATGATGGAAAGTCCACTTCGGGACACTTATTCATCTTTGGAGGATGAGTTGTTTCTTGGAGTAGCAAGAAACAATGGTGTGTTGCTAGATATACGCAAGAAGCTGAATATATAGCTTGTAGTATGGCAACTACACATGCTGTCTGGATAAGACAGTTTTTGATTGATCTTGATCTCAATTTGTTGGAAGGACCTATTGATATTTATTGTGATAATCAAGCAGCAATTAGCTTAATCAATAGTGGTGTGAATAGCTCCAAAGGAAAACATATTGAGATCCGGTATCATTATATTCGAGATATTGTAGAAAAATAAGAAGTCAAAGTGACTTATATCCCTACTACAGATATGATTTCTGATCCTTTGACAAAAAGAATACCAGCGAAATCTTTTATCAAACATGTAAGTTTGATGGGACTTAGGAATAAATAAGTCCAAGTAAAATTTCATGAATAATAAAAAAAGAGTTACTCTCTACGGATAGTGGGAGTAATGGTAAGCAGAAACATCCGATCTCACAGATAGTGGGAGGCATGTCACTTGGTTGATTTGGTCAAGTGGGAGATGTTAGTCTGACTTGGTCTTATGTGACCAAATCAACGCTTCTCAAGTGGAGAGAAACGTGGGATATGGGGTTTGTTGAGAGAAAATCTCTCAGAGGCAGATTGAGGAGGGTGGAGATGATGGGATTTTGGCCTATAAATAGTGGATTAATCTCCATGAGAAAACATAACGAAAAAAAAACTCCACGCCCCCCCCCCCCCCCCCTCAAAGATATCATCTTTTCTCTTCGCTGTGCTTCAAACATTGTTGTAGCCTTTTAATGCCTCCGTCGTTAGTTAAAAGGATTCAAAATGATAGTCCTTTATTCTTTGTGTGGCTGTTTGTTAATTAATCCCAAAAGTTTGTGTCTGTTTTGTTTTCATATCAAAGCTTCTATTGTAGTTTTGATGCCTTCTAGTAACTTTGTTTTCTACAAGGTTAAGTAAACATTATTTTGGTGATATATATTCCTTTGTGTGAGCTTTTATTTTTTTCGTAATTTCCTTTTTAGTTGTTTCTAATCTCTTTGTTGCAACATTGTGTCCGTTCAACACATTAATACTGAGCTTATGATTGCAGATCCTGTTAGCCTTCTTGTTTTCATGATGTTTAACAAACAATTTATCACTAATGTTGTTTGTCTAGTATTTGTGTTTTCTTATTTATTATAGACAAACAACGTAGTTGGAGGATGGATGGAATCGAGCCTTAACGATCATATCAAATGGAGGTTGGCGGAATTGTGGAGTGAAGCAAATTCAATTCAAGTTAAAGATTCAATTACAAGCTTCTTCCGCAAAGTTTACCAAGTCATGCTCATTGAAGACCTTCATCAAGCTTGGGTATATTTAGTATAGGTTTATATTATGTGTGTTTAATACTCTAAGCTCAATATCATATACACACACAATATTGGATTTTCTCACAAAATGAGCTATTTTGAGAAAACTTTGTGATATTATTTTATTAACCATGTTTACTTTATATTCATGTGTTATAATGTTTATGAAGACATTTCATAAAGTTTCAATATGCGTTTAAACTCTTTTTGTCAAAAACATGTTCTTAACAAATTCATATTCATGCATGTTTTTACAAAATAATGAGTTTTCACAATTGAGAAATGAAAATTGAGAAATTCTTTTTCTAACATGTTTGTTTTCATGTTTATAAACATTTCGTAAAGTTTCATCAAGTTTGGAATTGATTTGTTATGTTTAATGGAATTTACAAAATCATGTTTTTCGTTCGTGCATGTTCGTGCATGTTTTACAAAATAGATGAGTTTTTATAAATAGGAAGTGATATTCAAGAAATTCTTTCTTTGACATGTTTATCTACATGTTTAGAAACTTTCCTAAAAATTTTACTATTCGACCGCCAAACTCTCTGGACGTGGTTACTGTAGCACAACGGCTATATTTTTCAGATTTTGATATATCCATTATTTTATCTTTTTGCTTAGTTTTCTTGGGTTTTTGGGCTTGTTTCATGAGCCTATATATACTCCATGCCATCATACTTCTAAGGGCACTCAAGAAATATTTTAAACAAGTTTAAAGAGTTTTAAACAAGGGTTTAAGTGTATTTTAGTGTGTTTTCACAAGTGGAGAAGATCATCTTTTTGTTTGGGCTCCAATCTCCATCTCTCCATCTTGTCATCTATTGGAGAAGTTTTCTAAACTCTATCTAGCTTTACATTTGCTTAGTTATTTGATTATCATTCTTTAAAGCTAGTTTTTATATTGAGTTTAGATTTGATTATATTATCTTATTGTTATACACACCCACTTGAGCTTATTGTATTTGCATACATTATATAATTAGTTTGTGAGATAGTGTGACATTGAGTTGAGCCTAATTGAGTTCTCACCTTGTTAGAGAGAACAATCATTTGTTATATTGTGCTTAATTGTGAGGATTCACTTGTAATATACTTGTACACCGAGAGAAGTGTGTGGTGAGAGACGGGGTCGAATCCAAGAGGAGTGGCGTCGGTTGACGTGCCTAGGGAGAGGTTGTAACCGAGCACTTGAGGAGGAGGACACGGGCTAGGACCAACACTTAGTGTGTGAGGTGTGATTGCATAGTGATTGTATTGTGAGGTGTAAACGTTGTTCGGGTGAACGTAGAAAACCCGGTTGTGATAGTGAAGATCTCCTCGAGGTGAGGAGCGAAGACGTAGGTCGTGGGGACCGAACTCCGTAATCATATTGTTTATTTTTGATTGCATTGGCGCACTTCCTTTTATGTTCATATCTTATATCGCCTTTGTATATTGCTTATTGATTATATTGCCCACTATCTAGTTTAGATTGTTTACCCTTGTGTTTATATATCCTTGCACATACATTACCTATATCTCTTTATTAGGATATATCTTGTTGTTCATATTGCTTATCCTAGCTCATATACATCGTTGTATTTCATACTTGCTAGGATAACTTGTTAATATATTTTAATTGGCATTTAATCGGATTAGATTAGCATAAGACCCTAATCACCCCCCTCTAGGGTCTAACAGATCCAATGACTAAACGATTGCCGACGAAACAGTTCCTAAGTCATGTGGAGCATATATGATTGTTTTGTTGGCCTTCTTATTTTGAAGATGTTTAACAAACAATTTACCACTAATGTTGTTTGTCTAGTATTTGTGTTTTAGTATTTATTGTAGACAAACAACGTTGTTGTAGGATGGATGGATTGCGCCATAACGACGATATCAAATGGAGGTTGGCGGAATGTCGGTGAAGCCTTGCAAATTCAAAGTTAAAGATCAAGTTCAAGCTTCATCCGCATATGTACCAAG